ACAGGGTAAATATCAAGTGTTCCCCGTCGATCGATCTATTCGCGATAAAATTGGAAACCTCGTGGCTGGGGAACGAAGCTTCCGCGGCGTGTCGGTGTGCTCGGATTTTGTATAAAATTCACGAGCTCCCCCGTCGGCGTATTTAAAAATGGTTTGGAAACTATGCTCGAGGCGCGGAAAAGTCCGTAACAAACGAACCAACGCGAAACTCCGACGTCCAATCGAATTCCGTTACTACCCTCCGCGCGTTTATTAATCCATATAAAACACGACCCGGCGTGCTCGTGCAATTATCAACTTACGATTTTAACCGCCACACGGTTGTCCGTCGACCGACAAACCAATCTTCGAGACGATGGTCGAACCTCGCGATTTTAAATACTTTTCAAAAAATTCCACCGTCCTTCCATTAAAAATGTAACTCGCGACTTCGCGTAAAATGGTTCCGATGAAATTTCCAAGACAATTAAACCGCCCGTTAACGAGACTTCGTGCTACATACGCGTTCTCCTCGACAACGTACATCATTCACGACCCCTAATATCCTGAACGATTAATCTCGAGGGAAAACAAACATGCTCTCGGTGCACTCCCGAGACAAAACTGTCACGCGACTTTTCAGACCCGTTACCATGCATCACGATGCCTGATACAACATCGCACGGTAACGGGAATTCGAGGCGACCATTTTCTGGAGGCCTTTGTGACGATAAAATCTTAATGAATCGTCGAGGCGCGGACGAATATTGTCAAAGTAACTACAACGAAGCACGATGGTTCAAAAGAGGAACTCTAATTCATTCAGCGTTGAAGGAATAAGTTTTTTTTAGTATTTTTTTCGAGATGAGATTGGAACACCAAAAAAATATCTGGATCTTAACAGGGAAGCTTACTGTTCGTAACGTATAAAAAATGTAATGCCTCGCACAATGGCACAGGCTCGTGGATCGTATTGTGACACTACGAGAGAGAGGTGGGTGAAATTTGATCGGTGTCGTCGCTCCGTTTCGCCCGACTTTGTATACATTGGAACGGGGCCAAGGGAGGGTGGGAATAACTTTGTGACATAACACGAGACAGAAATTGTAACATTATACGCAACAGTACATTACGAAATCCAATCGATAGAACTAATTACGCGAAATTACACTTCCTACAACTTCGTTCGTACCGTTTGGACGTTGGAAAATTTGTTGGTACGGTGAACAACTCGATCCCCAAACATTAGGGGGTAACAATGCGACATAAATGTACGAAGTATATTTGTAAGTCTTCGAACGAAATGAAACAATGACTCGTGATATCCTTCTCATAAAATGATCCGAAAGGACGTAATATTCTCTGCGTTTGAGAGGTTCTTCCGCGAACAATTCTATAGTAGAGTCCTTCCTCTTTGTTCCGATCCAAATGGAGGATTCCTTCGTTCAATTTCGCCGAGGCAAGATCAATAAAAATTAGGATAAATCATATTTCGGAGCTGATCTCGCAAACGGGGAATTCGTTCGACTATATTTGGAAATTCGATTACACTTTGCTCCTTATACTATATTGGTATTGATCAGTATTATTAGAAAATTGATATGCAAGGTGTTTGGCAAAATAAGACGAAAATCATTAAAAAGTTATAGAAACATTTCCGGCCACAGTATATTTTCGGTAAAGAATTTTTTTTCTCGAAAGTACGTAGAATTTTGGGAATATGTCTGTTCACCAGAAATGATTATAATTGACCCCTGCAACTAAAAATAATTTTTCCAGAATGATTTGAAATTTTTTAATTTAATTTTTTAATAACTTTTTGATGGAGCTTCGATTATTTTGGCCTCTAGAATCTACCATTGAAAATGTTTCCCAGACGTGGCCGAAAATCCTGTATAGCAAGTACTGTACGAAATTGATATCCGTGTAGGTATTATAGTTCGATGTAAAATGACACTTTATTATCTGGTATCGATAGTACTGATACGATATCGGCGCACTCTTGTACCGTCGTAAAATCGAGAAACGATGCGCTTTGAAGAAAGAGATCTAGTATCGAAGAAAAAACTCCGTGCAGCACGTTTAACCCTTTCAGTCGTAACGTTCCGTACAAAGGAGGATGCTATAATGGAGCACAGAGAGGCCTCCTCCACCCTGAGGTAACAAAGTCATACGTTGATTTTGCTCATATAGGACATCTTTGAGCAATCTGATCAACGTCACCCTTTGAACGTTACAAAGTTTCGAAAATTGTTGATTTCACGGGCTGAAGTTCGTTAATCGTTCGCGCGGGTACGACGAACATTTTTGAACGTAAAAAATGCGAGACCTGCCCGAAAGGGTTGAAAACGTGACGCGGTGTCCGTTTCGGACAACCGCCGCTGACGAACGAAGAACAGAATTAATTTCTTAACACGATGACGTCTGTCTAGGTAATTTACACTTCGGAAAGGCAACGTTCCTGGCGGAATGCCTTGGAATGCCGACTGGGAATCCGAGGTGAAACCTCATTACGCATCGACCCGAATTTCCTCGAGATTGGTCCGCGATTTTGGGCTGCGAAGAATCAGGTCGATCTCCGTGGAACTTCCAATGTCCGCCATTCCCGTCGAGAGTTTAATAAGCGCCGGGAAAAGTAAGTGAAATTCGATGGAACGCGTTTGGAATACCGGCGGTCCGCGGGGCACCGAGTTTTCCGAATCGATCTTAAGAAAATAGCCAACTTCGCGGTGCTTATAACCGTTCGAACGAAAACAGGCGCGTTGTTCTCCGCGTCAAAGGCCCGTTGGAATCGACGGGCGATCCTCGGGGAACAGTGCGCAAACAAACGCTAAGAGTTTCGAATTGCCGAGCGAATTCGTGGCCCCGTCTCTCTAAAGCGCGCGAAATACGTCATTGGCTCATTGAATAACAATGCCGATAAACCGAATTTCCCACCGCGCTCGACGCGTTCCGACTTTCATCCCGACGGATCAAACGATCAAAGGCAGGACTTTTACCGGAACCGTTTGAAACGGTAATAATTACGAAACGGTTGACTCGTTTGATAAACAAAGTCGTGCAGTCGCGGCGAAATCGATTCCCGCGGGAGTGATCGAATCGACCGTTATAAACGTCAGTCTATGATAGAGCTGCACCGAGGCCAATAAAGAAGAGACGACCGGCATTTTTACGACGACGCGTTCGCACGCTGTCAGAAACGAACGAGTTTTTTTCTTTTCAAATTTCCAACGCGTTAGGCGAACAATCGCTGCGATTCTGATTCGAAACGATCAAATCGCGCGCTAAAGGATTCAATTCAATTTACTGCTATTTATGCGACGGTTGCCCGCCTTCCGACGACAAAAAGGAACTCATTTTCGTTAAGACGGTCGTTCAACGAGGAAGCTGAACGAATTGTTTCAAGTTTCTCGAAATACCGCTTCCTAAAGGTCGTTCGGGAGGGAACGCGCGCATTGTCGCTGATCTTTCGCGCAATGACAATAAAGGAAGAACACGTTATTCTTTTAATGGCGTTTGAGTATTGTCTTCTTCTGATGAAATTAACGGCCCGAGCTTTTACGATCGCTGGAACATTGTCCAGTCTTTTCTAATTAACGACGGACGTTCTCGCGATGCTTCTATAGGTTATTGTTTTATCAATTTTCCGATTAGCCAGTGGGTGCGGCGTTAATTTTTTAATACTTGTTAAACGGGGCAGCTTCGACGCGTTAACGAACCGCACCTGGAATCGTGAATTATTCGATAATTGCAACCATGTACGATGGGCAAGACGGTTCGTGTAACTGAATGGTATAATAAGTGTCTATGGATCATCCCTTCTAATACCATTTATCAATACACCTGATAGAAACTCGATAACATGCTCGGTAAATCAAGCACTGTGCAACATTAATTCCGATAAACAGAGTTTGGACACCGATATACGGTGTAAAATATCGTGAAAATTATTGCATGGTTTCCCAACTATATATGCACGAGTTCGAAAGCGTTAACCTTAGCTTCGTCGATCAGAATGAGAAGTTTGACTTCGTGGCGCCGGTTATTGACTCGGAACGTTCCTACCAACGTCTCGTCCACAGTTTACGATTCGACCAGCAAACCTCCGACGTCCAAATTAACCGTCGATCGAAAGAATCCGTACCGCGGTAGGAAACAGAAACGGTTTTATAAACGTTTTTTTCTTCGTGCCTCGCGCTCGCCGACCCGACGATTTAAATACAGGATGTTTTTTTTTCGCGCGAACCACGCTTTCCAGACCCGAAACTCGTCTGTCTCGTTACTTCCGGAATATTAACCAGCCAGCCACGATTATCAGTTTTCCAATCTCTGCGATCGACAGATATTTGGGGATACTATCTTACGTAAATTATGCCTGCGGAGTTAAGACAGGGGTTCCGGTCTCCTTGGATAAAAAAAAGAAATCGACCCTTTTTCTTCGTTGGAGTTTCTAAAGCTTCGATACCTTAAAATTACATCCTTACGATTATTATGGCGATACTCCAAGATTTAAGAACGTTTTAAACTTTTAAAGGGATCCCTGTGCAGGTTAAAAACTTAACAATTTTTAATGTCGTTCTCCTCGGTATAAGTTTCGTACGAGACAGCGTTGATCAAATCTCGAAAAGTAACCGTGTTCAAAATTTGCAGTAATCCTAAGAATTATGACTTGACCCTTTACGCTCCAAGATTTATATTAAAAACGAATTAATTCCCCAAAATGATACAAGATTGAACAATCTCAGAGTGCAAGGGGTCAATCTTCGCAAGTATCACCCTTCTGCAAATCGTTCGTAGTGTCGAGCAAAGGAATAAATTGGCAAAAAAAGATCTCGACCGTTCATAGATGAGAACCACCTCGTAGCAGATGAGCAAAGAGGTGTGCAACGTGGAGCACGCGAGCCTAGGCGACGGTCGGGAGACGGAGAAACGGATTACGCACCCGTGACACAGTGTCCCGACCGAATCGCCCCAATAGTGGATCACGAGGTCGAAGGTTAGTAGCGAGAAAAAGGACTTACCACATATCTTGGAAGAGCACGGTATCGGTAGAGCGATTGTGTTGCGTATCACGTGAGTCGGGCGTATCCGCTCGTCATATCCGCGTTGACGCGCTCTCGGCCGTGATCCCTCACTGCCAGGATGTCCTCCTCTTGTATTCTCTTCACCCTCTGGTCCACGTCCTGCTGCCTCGACGCTTTCTTCTCCTCTTTCTCCACCACTTTCTCCGTCTACTCCTTCTCTCTTTCGCCTCCCCGCGACGATACACCACGTACAACGCACTTTCGGCACCCTTGCCCGTCCACGCGCTACCCTTCTACCCTTTTACTTCCCTCTGAACTCGATTTACCACCGTGTTCTCCTTCGACCGATCTCTGTCCCTCTCTCCACGAAAAGACCCGCGCTTGTCTTCCAGTTCGTTTCTTTCCCTCAGCGCACTACTGCTACCACCAGTATCATCGGTAGCATCATCACCACACCAGCAGCAGCACCACCGTGGAGACCACTAGCAGAGAAGAGCACACCACTACCAACGACCGCGCGACACGCACGCACACATCCGCCAGAGACCGAGCATCGCTACCACCGCCACGATTCCCACCACTCCTTCTTCTCGCCTTGTGTTTAAACTTATAAATAGATATCTGGGTGCGTTCGATTATATTTATATGTACGCGGTTATATATATATATGTATATACACCTATGTATACATAAATATATGTGTGCACCGTATGTAAGTACGTGTACATGCGTGTATACGCGTGCGAGATTCTACACCCTCACGGCCTCCACGGACGCGAAATCGTGCTAACGTGGGTTCGTTCGCGAACTGCGCGTATTATTCATGGTATACCTAGTTACGCGCTCGGTTCTTTCTGTCTCTCCCCCCTCCCTCTTTCTCACCACCCTCCTTTAACCCTTAGATATCTCTCTCACTCTCTCTCTCTCTCTATCTCTCTCTCTCCCTGGAGTTGTACGGTCGAATCCTTCGGCTCACCGAACGATACTCGCGATCCCCGATCCTCGACGAAGATCGCGGCAATCGGTTTCGCCGATTGGTCGACCCGACTAACGCACCTCTCTCTCTCTCTCTCTTTCTCTCTCTCTCTCACTCGCTCGCACACTCTTTCCTAGTTTTCGTGCACACGAGGGCGGGTTAGAACTACGCGCAAAGGAGGCGTCGTCGACGTCGGCGGCAAATCAATCGACTACCTTACCTTCTCGCTGCGTGCCTCTCTTCTCTCACACTCTACGGTTATCATCCAGTTTCACAACCCTCCGCGATCCCTCTATCCTCTTACGAACGTCTCTATATTTTCACCGTACTTCGTTCCCCAGCGATCTCTACCTCCCCATCGGTCCGCTCGAGGTCTACCTATCCTTTTTCCACTTCCACTTTTCTCTTTTTCTTCCCCCCCGTACCCTACGGTTCGGCTGATCTAGCGAAACGAACGATTCCCTCGATGCACGAACGTTACTCCACCGCCGTTCGTGTATTGTACGCGACACTTCCTACTCGCCACGGTCCTCCGATAACCGGGAGGTCCTACGTCGATCGGTCGCTAACCGATGGGAATATATTCTCTTTTAACCGAGGCTCTCCATTCTCGGCACTCGAGAAGGAAGAAGAACGCGGGGAACCGTCGACGCGACTTTCTTCTACAATCCGCACGAAGGGAAACTGTAAAGACGACGGCGACGACGGACACAGCGACGGCACACGACACGTTCGACTCGACGATATGCCGCCGGCTCGACGCCAGCGACGCCTGGCGTCGCGACGCCCACCCCCTTCCTACGTGTAAGCTGCGTGTACGGTGTCGTACGCGACTCGGCGCGTTCCTCGGTGGAAAGAAGAACAGGTACAGGCAAAAGGTGAAGGGATATCTATTCGGTCGACGAGCAGAAAACGGTGGCTTTCTTTAAACTCGAATTTTCCTGTTGAATTACGCGAGTTCAACGACACGTCGGGGTGGTCGATTTCTGTACGGCGCGGGCGGAAAGAATTCCTTGCAACACTGTGCATTGGTTTATAAAGAAGATTCTCGATTATTTAACGTTCCCCTGCGTTTGTTCGACCCACGGCTAAACGGGACGTGCGATTTGTTTGTACGTGTTCGAATTGGTCTGCAATGCCGTGAAAACGATCGTAGCTTCCCAACTTCGGTATTCGGAGGAGGTTACGTTCAGGAGCGAATTGAGGATAGCGAGGCCTGGGGCTGGGGAAGAAACAAAAAATTTCATTTTGTAATAACTTTTTAAAATTTAGCTGATTTAGAAAAGAATCGTTACTTACAATTTCTTGATATCTTTGGGGTCTGAACGAGAAACAAATTTCATGCGGGCATACGTAATTTAGAGCTTCGTTTAAAAGTTATGATACTAATAGGAAACAGTAATGATAGTAAACATATACTGTCCGAGGTTATCAGAAGTATTTTAGTCATTTTTGCTAATAGTATCAACGAAAATTACGCTCACAATGTTTTGACGGACTTGGAAGCAAATACAGCTTATCGTTAGATAGATACAGACTGAATGTAAACATTTACATTTAGTCTAGCTTTATCTAAGCTATTTACTATTTCATTGCTATCTCATAGTGATATCATAACATTTGAATAAGGCTTTGAACGACATATTACTATCAAAGGGTGATTTTTTATTGGAACGATAAGTCGTATTTTAAAACTGAAACTCAAAATTTTAAACTCTTCTTTATTTGTTTATTTTCTGAAAACATGAAGCATTCATATTAATTTGTATAACGGTGTACGATTTCTATACACCGACAGCGACGTACCTACGCAATCGCGACAAGGTCGGCACCCATACTATTGGCACGTCTCCCTAGAGCACTTACAACTTGTTAGTCTCATTTTCAGTGCGGTTTAAATTGTCGAAAAAGGGTTTGGTTTGTACTTCTATATAATTTTAAACGGTTTAATTCGTTTAAATAGCATTAACAAATCGTAAATAATTTTTTTCGCCAAGTGTTTACAAACATTTATTTCATTATCTGAAAGGATAAGACCCCCATAATCCGTGTCTGAGCCTAGGCTTCTGGTAACACTGAAAAAGAACAAATATATTATTATATCTTTGTATCGAATGTAAAACTAGCAGTGTTAATTTAAATAATAATACGAATAATAATGAAAGAATACAAACAACGCGTAATGAGACACCTAGGGTGAAAATGACCCTCTGCGTGCACCGTAGATCGAACACATCTTCGCGTACGAGTATACGTAAATGTTACACAAGTCGTATATCTTGTGTTGCGTGATACACAAGCCTGTTTATACGATTGATCGCCAGCAAGATTGTTCTCGCTTTAACAACGCATGACGAAGCGTTGTTATATATCTTGTAGAAAATAATAAAGGCAAGAACAAACGCGCAACTTGTAACGAGACAAAATTAAACGCAAGAAAGTCGGGGCCGAGTATTACAGCAGAGAACAATGGGGCAAAAAATCCACGTATCTCGTAAATAACTTATTTCGTACAGCATTCATTAAAGTTTGAATAAAACTGGTGTTATTTAATTACTATAATTATTTAATATTCATATTATATTATATTATTTAATATTCATATTATATTATATTATTTAATATCTATAGTTTAAGAAAAATATATTGCAACTTTTGAAGTCTCCATTTTTATTTCTAAATTCATTGATTTAAAAATTTGTTGTCAAGTAACAAACTTTAAATTCATTCGTAAATTCATTTCTAAATTAGACTCTACTAATAAATGTTTTAAAGCAACATTCCGATATGCAACAACGTGAACAAAGGTTAGTTTATAAATGAATCGAACATTTTTATTTGTTATTCGAGAATAAAATTTGCCCAACTCTGCTATGAAGATTGTACGCATAATACGTACGAGAAGTTAGGTTAGGTACGCACAGCTGTAACGTGTCGTAATATTTCTATGAGCAAATATCGTTATAACATTAATTCCAAATTTCGTGAAATACTGAAATATTAAACAAGAAGCTCGCTGTAGTATGATTGCTGTTATCTACTACGATGCTTACATAATATGAAAAGTCATATTTTATTATGTTTATAATTCAACTACTACGATAATACCCTTTCTTTAGTGTCTTGCTTTCCCTTTCGTTGGTACGGAGATCATTATCTCCCCTCTTCTAACCAACTTAAAATTTTGTATCGTACAAAATTAATGCCAACGAAAATCAAGAGCTGTCCTTTCTATCATATTAAATGCACTTATAATGGTACGTCAGATTTGTTGTGCGTATAACTTCACAAGGTTTGTCCGGTATTTCAAGCCAAAGAATTTAGTGTAGCAGTAAACGGGCCCCTTACCCTATATGAGAAACAATAGTGGATATCTAGCAGTAACGAATTAACAAGCCGCTTTACAATTCGTCGAATCGAGTGGCGCCATCGAGCGAGCGTACTATCACTAACTTTTACCGTTAAAAGAACGATAAAACAGTGAAAGAAAAATGTTTTCCCCCAAACGTGTAGAGGAAAATGTCGCATTTTCGCAGATGCTGCAAATTTCATGCGTATCGTTTCCTAGTAACGATTTTTTTTACAACTTTCTGACCATTTTTATATAGGTGGATACAAGTATACTCTATAATTAACAACGCGTCAGTCTACCCGTAGAACCTTATTCTATTCTTAAACTGTTCCACCGAAGAAAAGATAAGCCGGGGTTGCCGAGGGCCTGTGTTTTATTTATACAACCTTCTCTGTCTGACTATATTTATATATGTACTGAGAAAGCAACGACTTTAAACAGTGCGCAAATAAGTAAGAACACTACGTGTTCCCAAATTTCGTAACGAGAATTGAAAATAAAGAAACAAAGGTGCATTCTTTTTTTTAGCGTTTACAATAAAAAATTTCCGATTAGATAATAAATGGTACAGTCGGCTGCGAGCATATAACACGTTTACCGTGCTCGTCTTAAATTTCCTTAGATAAATATTTATATCGATTGAATATTAAATGCGATCCGTGAAATTGTATTGCGACCGAAATACGTTGATACAATACCTTATCGTTACAGTATCCAATTTTAACTTTACAGCTCAATGAATGTACCAAACGACATTGATTTTATACGTCGATCATATCTGATTATAGATTTCACGATAATTTACATCTACGTAAGAGCAGGGTAGCCTGTAAAAATATGAAATGTTAAATCGAGCTCTTTGTTATACAATTTAAATGTTAACCTAACCTAAATCAGTTGTTACAGATAAAGGAAAGAAGAATGTTACTAACGGGCAGAGAATATACGTAATTTAATCTTCATAAAACGAATTAATAATACGCGATTCTCAACCGATAAAAGCACCGATCTCACAGTCACAGGAACAAAGGTATTCGTGCATTGTTCGTATTCGAGAATGTTCAAGGACTTTTAGGAAACGCTCGTTCCACGAATAAGAACGTATTGTAAAAATAAATCATAAATTTAAACGACAAGCAAGTATGTCAAAATGTTGATTATCCATGTTTTAGGGAAAATTCATTAACGTTAGTAATGAAACGATCACCGGAAACGAACTGGAATTTCCGTTGTTGTCCGTTGAATCTGCCGTTGCGATTGGAGAGAGAAATTACGTCTTAGCAGAAAGGACGAATAGCGTCGTGTTAAAAGAAGCTTAGAGGGAATCGGAAACTGTTGCTGACTCTCTTTCTTTCACTCGTAAGCCGGCACCGGTTCACCATAAGAACCGACTGTGACGCGTGCCAACTGGTCTGAAATTATTCTCGTGCGCAGTACACCGTTGCTTTTGCCGATCTCGTCGATTCAACCAGTCCACTTAATATTTTCTGACGTTATTTTAACGCGGTAAGCTCCGAACGGTACACGATGGCGGCGGTTGACTGTTACCAGAATCAAGCCCAGGCCGAGGGTACCGGTCAACAGTCACAAACTCAACAGCAATCTCATCAGCAACAATCGCATCAGCAACAAGCCACCGCCGGAATTCCAGGGAAAGATGACGAACGTAAACTCTTCATCGGTGGCCTATCGCGTACCACCACAGACAAGGAATTACGAGATCATTTTGGCAAATTTGGTGAAATTGAGAGTATCACCGTTAAAATTGATCCATATACTGGTGTCTCACGAGGCTTCGCGTTTATGGTTTTTACCAACCCCAAGACGATCGACAAACTTTTGGCTTCTGGCGAACATTACGTCAATAAACGAAAGGTAAGTAACATTTTAAAAAAAAATTTCATTCTCAAATCTGAAAACATTTGATTAAATTATCTCTCACCGATATTATAAATTTTCCTCTTGAAGAAAATATCTTTCTCTTTTGATGCAGGTGGATCCAAAACGGGTGAGTAAAAAGCCGCAGCATGGGAAAATTTTTGTGGGTGGCCTTACTCCGGAAATTACCGACGATGATATCAAGTCATATTTTGGACAATATGGCACTATCGTTGAATTACAAGCACCGTTCGATAAGGTGAAAAACCAGAGAAAGGGATTCTGCTTCATAACTTTTGACTCTAAGGAGGTCGTATATAAATTACTCAAAACGCCAAAACAAACAATAAATGGCAAGGAAGTGGATGTTAAAAAAGTAAAAGTAAATCCAGAGTCAAGGAATCAAGGATTTTGGGGACCGGGATATGGTTATGGTTACGGCGGTGGTTATGGCTACATTCCCGAATATTGTAATGGCTACCAAGGAGGTTATGATGATATATATGCAAACTTTGATTATGAGACTTACGATGGTTATGAAAATATGGGATATGGGGCTCAAGGTAAGCCACGGGGAAATGGTCAGGGACCACGTCAATTTCAGAGACATCAGCCGTATTAAAAGAAAGGGTATATGAATCTTACATACTCGAAACTTGGTGATAAAACAAGAACATAGTAAGGAGTAGACCAACTTTATCTAGATACAGTTTGAGACTGAGATACAGGAATTTGGGATAAATGAGCTTCTAGAGTCATTACAAGACTCGTATTTGAGCCCCAAATTTCTTAATCTTTGTATGTATGTACATTTGTATGTACATTTTCTAAAAAAGAAACGAATTTTTCATTGATCAGCGGTCAATGTAATTTATTAAGTGGAAAGGATCGTGTCTTTTTTGTCTATGCACATTTTGTCACTTATCGCGTGAAACGATTATTAATGAAACTACTAAAAATATATATTCAAATATTTTTTACTCAAGTTCAATTTTTCATACAAAAAAAAACTTTTTTTTCTTACATGGAGCAAAGGTTGACGAGACAGTGACTAATATCAATTCATAACTACAATATTCTTCGAGTCATATGTAGTGTGCAAATTAAAATGATTGATTTACTCCTGGTTTCTTGTTATCCATGATTCATAATACTAACATGTATATCTTATAATTTAATACTCTAATTATTCTTTAGAATCTTAAGTTGCATTACTAAAGTATTGTTTATTATATGCTTGGTGTTAATCTTATTATTAGAAACACAACGCTGTGTCGTTTATATTAGGACTTTATGTCTATAAACAGTTTCAGTTCAGAAAGCACTTGTCAGTTAGAAATAATCGATAGATATAAAACAAATTACCATTCATGGACCAACGGTTCGACTCCTAATTAAACATACTTCTTCCTCATAAATTTATAACCTAAACGTATTATCTATTATCATCTAATTGTTTATAATCTAAAATAAGTCCTGTAACTTATACAAATCATAAGGTATCATGAGAGACATGTGTATCTTTGTATGTTATATGTATATGCGTGTATACATACATAATGACATATACATGTACGAGTTAGTATATAATAAAGTAGCAATTAAGAGAAAGATAAAAATATTTCAAAATGAATATAATTAAAATATGAACGTCCTGGGTAGATATGCGAAGAGTACGCGAGTGGTAGAGGATGGTTGCAAAATATTCTAAAACTATATCAGAAATTACATCACAGAGGCAACAGGTTCGTTATAATTTGCATGAAGTTTATTTTATAACGGTATCGTAACTGTACTTTTTATATCTTTCATCTATCTTTTTATATTTAAATTCGATTAACAATCGTAAAAGTCTGATTAACGCAATCAGTGGTTTTGGAAAGTTACTGCACTCGTGTACTCCTATGTTTAAAAAATATGGCAAAAATGATCGTATCTCGTTATATTGCGAAAAAAAAAAAAAAAAAAATGATGGATTCGTGAACACTGAATCAACAGAATGTTTAAGGCATTGGAACAAATTAAAATTATAAATTACTGTTATTTAGGCTACTATGACATTTCTTTCATATTTGTTTTGAACAGCAGTTCCTGTCTGGTGTACGAAACTGCGTTTCATATCGCAAGAAGACTGTTAATAAGTAGGGTATCATTTGACATGATACAAAACCTTATAGAATTTGACAGCCAATAGATCTTGTGATTTTTTCGATGAAAAAACTTTTAAAGCGACAACATAATTATAGCAAATGTAGATAATTTCAAACTACATTTAGATACATCGAAATTATATTGTACACAAGGCTGATGAAGCTTTAAACATTCAAGTTTTTCTCAGATGTTACAAAAGTATCGACAGTTTGGCTTAAACATAATTCATAATACACAAACACAATGGAAAATAGACTGTTCTCTTTAAAAAGATTTTAAGCCAAGCTAATTGTGCTTTTGAAATTAAATCTGTATACTGTGTATACCATATTTGCTGCGTGTGGAAAAAAAAAATATATATATATATATACATATATATATATACGTATATATATAAAAAAGAGAACAGAGTGTGAAATTAAAGGAAATAACACAAATATTTTGTTACTATTGATTACTATTCGCCTGTTTCACCCATGACACAGTGTATATTTTAATTATAACAAAAAATAAAATATTCATTATTCTAAAAATACTTTGTAACATCCTTGTTCTAATTGAAACTTAAATACGAATGAAATTATCTATTTGGAAATATTTATATGGTAAAACAAAAGTAATTTAAAATAAAATCCTCCCTTATCCTAATTTAAAATTTGAACGTTATAACGGTTGAAATTTGAATCGGTACAAAATTGTAATGTAAATAATTTTTTTCATATTTTTTTATACATGTCATTCGAACGTTAAATCGAATTATATTACAAAATTTTCATAAAATTGAGCAATCATGATGTATTGTGTCTGTGGTTACATGCATACAATGACTCGTAACAATGACCCTGGACTGTTAGATCATAAAATACGTATTTTAAACAAATTTATTAATAATGATTTCTTTTAGCTGTTAATACTCGAACAAGAAAAAGTTTTTTAGTCGCTTGCTTCTATATTATTTAAATCGAAAATTATTGTTACGTGCAATGTAAAATGTTAAGGAATTAATGAAATATATCGGAAGTGGTTTGTATATTTGTGAACAAATAATTTGCATATTCCATTGGGCAGATCACGTATTCTCATGTAAATATTACACATATAGTATCAGAGTGTAAAAATAAATAATAGAACGTAATCGTTGGTGGAAACGAGTTTGAAAACGTTCGAGCGGGCGAGTGTAGATTCATTAAAATGCGGCTGAAGGTTCGTTAATGGCAGTTGCATGGGTGTAAATGAACGGACAGACAGACAGCTGCAGTGTCATCATTTCGTTGTGTGTCGTATTGTACAGAACGAAGCTTATAGTGTCGGAAGTTCGAAAAGGAGCAACCTGCTACTATGTCTCAGCGAAAATTGATAAAAGTTACGTCGCGATTAATGTTGCCTCTTTGGCCAAGAGAATTCGCGATGTAGCCTCTTCCATAGTCGATTTTCATCGCGTTCGCGTTTATTCATCATCGATGTACCGAGAATTATCGGAAACATTTCGTGCAACATTTCCGAAACCAAGTCGCATGAAATCTCCTGTTCTTGTTGTTCCTGTAACAACATTTATTTATTGTCGTGACACCCTTTGTCGTTGCACACGACGTTTTCATTCTCGTTTAGTGTCTCCGTTGTCATCGTTCTCAAGTGCCTTTTATCTCCCTCTCTCACACTCTTGACTCACTATTTTCCGATCTTAATCGCGCGAAAACCAGTGTATGCATCGAATGACATACTAATACATATGTCAGTACAAATTCCGGTAAGTGTATAAATGTACATTCTTCTCGAAGATATAAACTTGTACGCTCTCCTTGTGTTTGTTATACGTAATACTTATCGAGGATCGTTCACTTTCTTGTTTCTCGCGTATTGTTTATTTGTGACCGCTGATTCGTCGCAACTCGTGACTAGCGACTCGCTTCACGACCCTATTCCGCAAGAAGATTTCTATCGTTTGCTGTATTTATCCAGATAAATAATCCTTTGGCGCGATATCGTATAAAAATTCGTTAAATTCGTTCGCGAAAAATTTTTTAAACGATTTCTTGTGAAAATTCGTCGAACGGGACGATGATAATTGACGCGCAAGCGATAAATGGTCGTGTAATCGATACAATGTAATTTCCGTTACTTGTTCCATTTCGTTCGTACAAAATTATAAACAAGACTTTTTTTCCGTGAAGTTTTGTAAAGAATTGAGGGAAAAACCATTTGGATTTCCAATGAAGTGTATATTCTTGTGTAACAGCGGGAGCGTTCAATGTTTAGCTTATTTAATCATTGTGTTTATTTAATCACTCAATTTGAATAATATGTATGTGATGTATACTTGATTGTATAGGCTAACAATCCGGTTTTTGCATAAAATTATTCAGATAAATGGAAATTGACTGTAAAAAGAGTGTGGGTATGTCTGAAGCGTGTATTTATTCTAGAATATTATTCTGTATACATGTAAATTTTTAAGTACATATTATAATTATATCGTATGTCACTTATCGATTACAAATTATCATTATTAGCTAAATAATACTGATTAACTAAAAAGCAACTAGAAGTAAAGCATGAGTTGCATAGAGTAAACTTTATAGTAGAAAGTATCAATGTCATAATGAAAAAAAAACAGGTATAATGCATTTCAGCATGTTGCGTTTAGTGATTAAAAATGATTAACAGTTTCTTCTGTTCTATTTTGTATAAAGTTATCTTTTCCTTATATTTTTTTTCCTGTATATCTGTTTGCATGTACTGCTTGAAAAATTTGTTTTTACAATTTCTTGATCCATAATGTTTCAAAGAATTTATCATTTAATATACACAAACTAAGATAGCACATTACGTTACGTGTAATTTTGTCTATGATCAAGATTCCATAATACATTTGCAATAAGATAGCTAATTGTATAATATAGATTTTACAGCATGATAAAATAATTCTCATACATTATAAAGGTATAGTTGTAAAATGTAATAAATCTTTTGAATATTAAAGCTTACGTATAAAAAATTTTATGACACTATTGAAATTACAATAATTTACAGATATGAGGTGGATGATTCATTCCAGAATGCATCGCATTTACTAAACATTTTGAACATAAAAGGACATCCTTGTTGGCCCAACGGTGAACAGTTCTTGTTTGGTACATAGAATAGAAGGAAAAGATGTCCCAATTAAGTATTAGTACAGGAAAGAGAGGGAGGAGTGTTGCAAGCTCCTCTGCATCCACGGTATCGTCTTTGAGCAGTTCAACTGACTTGGCAAGCCTATTCGAATGTCCAGTCTGTTTCGATTACGTTCTTCCACCGATCCTACAGTGTCAAAGTGGACATCTTGTTTGTAGCACTTGTCGACCAAAGCTTAATTGCTGTCCTACCTGTAGAGGTCCATTAGGTGTGTAAATAAAAATATAATACTGGTATCCCTCGAGTTACGCGGTTAATTCGTTCCGCGTAAGTCGAGGGATACCTGTAACAAATCCGTATAATATAAAAAATTATATGAAAATCAATTTAACAATATATACTTGTGCATTTTTGTGTTTTCAATGTAGGTAATATCCGCAACCTGGCTATGGAAAAAGTGGCAGGTAATGTAATGTTTCCTTGCAAGTATTCAACAAGTGGATGCACAGTCTCTTTAGTACATACTGAAAAGGCAGATCACGAAGATGCGTGTGAATTCCGTCCATACAGTTGTCCTTGTCCAGGTGCTTCTTGTAAATGGCAAGGATCTCTTGAACAAGTAATGCAGCATCTTGTTATCAGTCATAAAAGTATCACAACTCTTCAAGGTAATTTTATTAAACGAAACATGTAATTGTATCTTTTATAATTTAAAAAAAAATAATAACAGCATTCTTTTTTCTTGCAGGGGAAGACATTGTTTTTTTAGCAACCGATATTAATCTTCCTGGTGCAGTGGACTGGGTGATGATGCAGTCCTGTTTTGGTCATCATTTTATGCTAGTGCTTGAAAAGCAAGAAAAATATGATGGACATCAACAATTTTTTGCAATTGTTCAACTTATTGGCTCAAGGAAACAAGCAGAAAACTTTGCTTACAGGTAAATATGCGATATCTTGAAGTAACGAGGTATTAAATTTACACTAATTATAATGTTAAACAGACTAGAATTGAATGGACATAAAAGGCGTTTGACGTGGGAAGCCATGCCGCGATCCATTCACGAAGGTGTTTCATCTGCAATCTTAAATTCAGACTGCCTTGTATTTGACACCTCTATTGCGCAGTTATTTGCCGATAATGGAAATTTAGGAATAAATGTTACAATTTCCATGGCATGAGGAAAGCTGGAAAAAGCAGTGTGAAATCTTTTAAACGTATCGAGCAGTCTTTGGATCATAATTTCATCTTCATATTGAGGATTGCCCGTTATGTACATATAGCATTTTTTTACGTTACCACAGATAAATATTAGCAATATGGATGTTAGGGAATGTTTGGAATGTGTTGATAAGGCACAGTAATCAAACGCTCAGTTACAGGACCTCTCTTTAGAAGCTTTAAAGTGTACTTGTATGTGATATTAACACTACAACATAAATACAATAAACGACCTTTCTGTATACTTACGTTGACTTTAAAGCTTTGGCACTGGGTAAAGCATCAATTCCAAAAAGTACCTGACGCCTATTGCGCATTGACATCACGTTCTTTTAGTCATTTCTTACTAAACCAGTTTTTATCAAAATAATTTTTTTTAAATTTTTGATGCTTTTTAACACAAAGTACACACTCTTTGTACAATTCGTTTATGTATAATATGAGAATGCAAACAGAAACCTGAAGCACATACTTGAAGAAGTCCTCCATATACGTAAATTCTTTACTGTATAATAATTGAATTGAACGCGTTAAGTACACATCTGTCATTATTTATTTTCATTTAGAAACTTCATACGCCCGCATATTTATTATCATCATCTAATTTTTTAATTAGGCTTCATTTGTAATAAATTCAGTTTTTGTTACAAATTTAGCGACATATTAGATTTGTTTCGTACCACGATAGATTGTATCCGAGTTTCTCGTAATCGACGATATTGCAAATTGTATATTTTTTAACTTCTGTATATTACCACAAAACAATTTGCACTATTTTTCAACAACATTATTACGAAGCTAAAAATCTCAAATTGAATAAGAAAGCATATCAAATCAAAAGCTAGTAGTAAGTTTATAAACGCAATGTCAAGGGTTTATAATTACTGCAATATGCTTAAAAATGTTGAAAGAAAAACTTACAATTTCGTCATTAAAAATGTTATTTTCTTTCTTTTTTTTTTTTCTTAATACGTAAAATCATACTGTTCTATAAATTTTAGTTTTGCAGAGAAAAAAAATATTAAAGTACATGTATCAGCAATACACACGGGAACACGAAAGTAGTTGGTATACGATAAGCAAATGAAAAATAATAGAAATAAATCGCGCAGTCTCATCCTTTTTTTACTCATTCTGAAATAGACGAACGTAATGTAAGGAGAAGTGTTACAATTTTAAGAATATAGAACCATTAAATTGTTGCAAAGTAGTTTTATAAATAATCACTGACATTGTACATAACTTTTAATTTATCGTTCTTATAAAATTTTTCAGTACCGTATAATTTAAACTTTTATCAAAGAGTATGATTTAGTATAATTTATATTCAGAAGTTGGTTTTAAAGAAATGCGTAATAAAATATAGACGTAAGAGATCATAAATGTTCACGCGAAACTTAATTTATTGCAACGTTATGACAGATGCTAGACTAAGCTGACTAATAACGATACGTTTGAATAGAATTGAAACTATATGAGCTTGACCTTGATGTAATTTGAAATTCTAAACTAAACGAAGTACGAAAGAGGATGATCGTGCGAAGATTTCCAACAAATTCAATTTTACGACGAGAACGATGTTACGTAATGGAAATATCGAAAAGTGCGATCGAAAATGTTTTTTCATCGGATCCCGACTCTTACGTCATCACGAATCGCATATAAAAATATTGGAACATTCCAGGCGTAGACGAAAAGTTACTGTAAATAGAACAAACTTTATATGTGATAAAGCTATTAATTGATAATGTAAATTAACATGCCGACATGCGTATATATGAAGTTCAAAGGAATATGGGAACCAATTGCATGTTATGCATATGTATAAGTATATATAAATATATAAACGTATATGATACATAAATATATAACAATGTATTTATATATATGTATATATATGCGTATAAGGCTTATATGAATATAGTTACGTTTACATAAGTGTATTAAATGAAACATTTAATTTCAATAGATTTCAAGTGTAAGCAGTTTTGGCGGTTACTGGAAAAAAAATACATTCAAGTCTAATTTTCACGTTAATTGTTATATTCGAACTGACTATATAGGAATATCTTCTCGTCTTATGCTTATAATGCACCAAATGGAACCGCAAAATTCGCACACTTAGACATTACTAAAAGCATCTGTTTAAAGGCCATTACGTCGGAAAAAAAAAGCTTTATCAGAGGAATAGGACACGACTGTCCGGCAAAATATTATCGAGAAATAAAATACACAACAATTGAATATGATATTGTTAAACTGTTCTTGACAAAGATCGTACCAAGTATTAAAAGTGCGAATTTCATTACAAGGAGACTATATTGCTAAGATGTATGTACATATTAATTTAATAAGACATAAATCTAGAATTAATCACGATGTAACGTTTAATCTTTTATTACAGTAATTTATTCTTACAGATCAGTAATAACGGTACGCAGATATTTTTAATCGGCGCGATTATTAAAAGCGATTAACTTAATCCCTTACTGTATAACTTTCTAAATAATTTTTAAAATAACGATAAAATCATATTTTTTAAAATATTAATCTCTAAAAATGTTTTACTTGTTCTTCTACAGAATTTGGCCGTTCTAGTTAGTCAAGTGAATCTGAGAGTTACTATACGAAACGAATTTCAATTTTTAAGGGGAAGTAATTTAGCTGTAAGGGTTTAACGATATACTAGACGCGTGCGTTACACGACGGCTTGTAATTCGGTTGTATCTACTTTATATAGGCATTGACGAGCTACGAATGTTTGTTATAACTCTTACGCTGATTCTTACGTATAATTTTAGTTTCATAATTTATTATCAATTAGGTATGAAATTATAAACGAGTACTTCGATATCAACTGTATGAAATATAACACCATGAATCCTGTTCCTAAGCGTAAAATAAATTTGTTATCAAAATAGTACGTATGAGCAAATTTGATCGAAAACCTTAGACCGTATTGATATATGTACAAAGTCAAAAGATCGTTAAAATTTAACTAAAATCTTTTAAACATCGATGAATTCATTTAAATTTGTGTCTCGCGGAAACAATCGATTATTCCGGCTTAAGGAACATGGCTCAGTTAACGGATAATGTAAACTGTCTTTTTGTTTCATGATTTGGGATCGCAAAAAGCGAGGGAAAATGCAGTTCGTATGTTACGACGGCCATCGCGATCGAAACGACGCCAAGCGTGCATGTTTCTGAACGACTCGACTAGAAAGAATGCAGTTTTACAAATACTTCCACGAGACGCGTTAGAACAAGTGTTTTTACAAGTATTAAACAGGTTACGAATCAAATTATCAATTTGATCCAAAAAATCTATTCTGTTTTTCAGAATTATCATTGATACCCAAGTTCCCTAAAAGTTCCCGCGACAAATTCCCGCTAAAGCGGAAGCAACGCCACCTAACGATACTCGACTAGTACGATAAAAGCAAATAAGCTCGTTAGATTTTTCTCTATACTCGACTTACATCGTTCTTGCGGGAATTCTACTTGTTGCTTGGAAGCACGAGTCGTGGTCGGCATTGTTCCGAGAAGATTTTAAAAAGTTCCAAGTAGTCATCGTACGAAAAAATGGCCAACTACCACAAGCCAGAATCAAAAACGATCCAAGAATTGAAAGATATTGCGACGAAATTGAGAATTGATTCGATCGAAGCCACGCAAGCCAGCAAATCCGGGTACGTGCAATAATTCTATATTTTATTATAGCGATTCGATACATTGACTGTGTGTTGCATAATTTGTTCATAAATTAATATATTAATAGTATGGACGGTTTCTGACTGTGCAACTACGAGTTACCGATTACGCATAAAAATTGCCTGAATTCAAGTAACATCGGAGAAAGAATTGTTTGCTTTAATTGTTTGTCGCGATTATTTGCAGGGATAGTTGGTTGCGTTAGACGTAATCCGATCATAGCCTTTCTTTTTACATTTTTTATCGTTGAGATCACTGTCTCGGAAATTCTTTTAGCGGCAGGACATTGATTCAATTTTAGATTATTCGCTCGTATGATTCGTCGCAACATTCAGTGTCACACCACTTGTTTAACACGTTACATCACGTAGTTCAAGGTAGTCTTACTACTGCACATCATGTTTATGCATTTACTAGAAAACGGAATAGCACCTGTGCTCCTCTCGAGATGTTCTCTAAAATATATTTATGCATTTTTATTTCCATCGATCGTATCTCATCGTAGTCGAATGAAAAAGAAAAATTCTGCACGCAGACAAACGTTCAAATATGCTGTACCCTAGGGAACGACTGACGAATAAGTGCAATCTAATTTTAAGTAACGTTTTCCTTCTACAAGCGCAATGGATTTCGAAGTGCATCACGGTTCGGCTTATTTTCGAACGTAGCGTCGATCGTATCATTTTGTACGGTTAAAAATAACGATTTAGCAGTGAACTGTGCACGAGATTAACATTTTAGAACAAGTTCAATGTTTCTAATGAAAGGAAGACTTGTCTTCTATATTTCTCTTACGAATGATTTTGTACATAGCAACGGCATCTAAGGCACGTGCACGATACGAGCATGGTACATATTCGAATTGTTACATAACATCCGTATTTCATTAAATGGGATAATCATTTCGATTGGACAATTTTCACCCTCGCAAGTGATAAAGAAGTATATAAATATATCGAGTGAGAAAATGACATCCGATTAATTTATTATTGGCAACATGTGTACTCTAAACATATTTGTGTTATAACAGTAACACGTTTTTTTCCACTAATCGTCGCGATAACTGAATTCGATAACAACCAAAGAGTTCTTACGCGGAATTTGTATGGTAGATAGCAGCGTGAAAAAACCCATAAAGCGATAATGTAGAAAACGTGTACTGGCACAGTAATTGAGAAATGTTATTTCAAGCGTTAATTGTAAGATTTATTTGCAGTAAGCGTTTTAAAAAAAAGCGGTAGTGGAAATGCCGGTCATCGGTGACCGGACGCGGCTTAAACGATTAAAAGATTAACAACGAATGCCCCCGGTGGGACGAACAAATAATTCGACAAAAAGTCACGGCCTTGAACTGTTTGAAACGTGTCCTGCACCGCGCGTCGCGTGTTAAAAAAGTTCTGGAAGAGCCGGGACCCCTACTCGTGTAAAGTAAACTCATCGATTTTGAAATCTCCTATATATAATCGGTCGGGAAGAAAGTAGGGAGGCTCTGAGTTCCGAGTCCGACGCGCAGTCATTCGCGAAAGCCTCTCTCTCCTCAGTTATTATCGAACGTTCGACCGGTGACGACATTTTGAGAAAGGCTCTTGCTGTAGTTCACGATGGTGTGTGATACGAACATGGAAAAACTCCAAGATCTCGCGAACAGGCTTCGCATTGAATGTATTCAGGCGACCGAGGCATCGAAAAGCGGGTACGATCAAACGAAATATATCGAACGCCATATTTTCACTAAAATTTTAATACACAGAAGCTATTTTTATTTTACAATTATTTTATTACTTCTCGGTAACTTCCAAACTTGCCTTTCAAACGTTTCGCGATAATTTACCAGTAACGGTTGCTTGTAATTATTTTTAAAATTACGAAAATTTATGCGATCGGCAGTTACTTCGTTCGAACCAGTAATTCGAATTCTGCGGTAGTAATTATACATTTTCTATCAATATATACGTTATGATATATTACTATTTTAGTAATAAATCTTTCGATAAGATTACTTTGCGTCGAAATCTAAACTGTTGCAATGCATTGCCAAAAGTAACGAAATTGTCGACCATTTAAAGGATATGCTTGAACGTTCACGAAAATTTCTGTCCTCGATCGTTCAACGGGTGTTGACATTGATCGGTGTTGCGTTTAATTATTTTCAAATTTACGGAGATGTATGATAATTAATGCCATCGTAAGATATTTCACTCGAATCGTTCGTAATTATTTAGTGGGGTATGACGAACGCAAGACGCGGACGGAAATGGAAAAAATGTGGAGAAGAAACGTACACATGTTCTGTAACTGAATTTCATTTGAAATCATGAACTTGAAATGTACTTCAAAGACGAATACTATTTCGTTACATATTTTGATTATTTAAAAGTTTTATTCTAGTGTTACATCACATTTAATATATTATATTATCGAAGTAATTAATTTAAATAAACCCCCTCGATAATTTAATCTTAATCAAATTTTTTTATAAGTGTTATATTATATAACAGATTATTACATAAAAGATTGTTTTCGGCTTTCAATGCTAACGATCGCACGTATAATCTAGATGGCTGACCCTTGACTTCCGTAGATAATGGTTCATTGCCATTACGGGAGGCCTGGCGTAGCTTTATACAATTTTAATTGTTATCAAATTACGTATAAATAATAAATAAATATTCGTTAAAATTTTTTTTCAGTCATCCGACATCATGTTCTTCGATGGCCGAAATTATGTCCGTTTTATTCTTCCACACGATGCGCTATAAAGTATCGGCACCACGCGATCCCAGCAGCGATAGATTTGTTCTGAGCAAAGGTCATGCAGCTCCTATTCTTTATGCAGGTAGATTTTTCGCATACATGTATATCAAACAAAATCCATCACGATACATCGGTAGAATCACGCGATGCTTATTACTTATGTATGTTTGTAGCATGGGCCGAGGCAGGCCTCTTCCCAACGAGCGAATTATTAAATCTGAGAAAGATCGATAGCGATTTGGAAGGACATCCTACTCCGCGACTTAATTTCGTCGATGTGGGAACCGGTTCTCTAGGACAAGGTCTCTCTGTTGCAGCAGGGATGGCCTATGTAGGAAAAAATTACGACAAGGCTAATTATCGGTAATAAACAGCTTTATTGATTGGAAGTCGCTTGTATCTATAAATGGTAAAATTAAAATGATAATATGTTCGCCAGTGTGTACTGTCTGATCGGTGATGGAGAATCAGCGGAGGGTTCAATATGGGAAGCACTTCACTTTTCGTCTTACTACAAATTAGACAATCTCTGCGCTATTTTTGACGTAAATCGTCTCGGTCAAAGCGAACCAACATCTCTCCAACATAACATGGAAGTTTATCGTAAAAGACTCGAAGCTTTCGGCTTCAATGCTTTGGTTGTCGATGGCCACGATGTCGAAGAATTGGTCAAGGTATATATTGTTCATATGAAATGAATCAATCCCATACACAGAAAAATTAAAACACAATTTTATAGGCTTTCCACGAAGCACAAAATACAAAAGGTCGCCCAACTGCTATTCTAGCGAAGACATTCAAGGGAAAATACTTCCCCAATATCGAAGATCTAGAAAACTGGCATGGAAAACCTCTTGGCAACACGGCAAACGAAGTGATTCAAGTAAGAATCGGAACTTGTATATCGCACAAATATTTTTTATTTCATTTAAAAAACTAACGAATCGTTTGATTGTAGCATTTAACCGGTATGTTGAAAAATTCTGGCCCCCTTGGATTGCATCCTCAGAAGCCACTAGTCGATGATGCTCCGGTAGTAGATATCGGTAACGTTAAGTTAGCATCGCCTCCAAGTTATAAACTAGGAGAACAAGTAGCTACTAGATTAGCTTATGGTACAGCTATAGCCAAGGTGTGCACATTATTTGTTAAAACAATAACATTCTTTTCCCGCTGATCTTTTAAATTATTTTTTTATTCCAGTTGGCTAAAAACAATCCCCGCGTTATCGCTCTGGACGGCGATACGAAAAACTCTACGTACGCAGAAAAAATCAAGACCGTTGATCCAGCCCGATTTATCGAAGGCTTTATCGCCGAACAAAATCTTGTAGGTGTTGCGATCGGTGCAGCCTGCAGAGACAGAACCGTTGCGTTTGTGTCAGCTTTCGCAACCTTCTTCACTCGTGCCTTTGATCAGGTAATCATCGATAGAAAAGAACGAACGTCCTATGAAATGTCTTTCAGTCAACTCGAACGAATATTTTTTAATTTTGCAGATCCGAATGGGTGCCATCTCGCAAACCAATGTTAACTTTGTCGGTTCGCATTGTGGTGTTTCTATCGGAGAGGACGGTCCTTCGCAAATGGGACTGGAAGATGTAGCTATGTTCCGTACAGTTCCTGGCTCAACCATTTTTTACCCAAGCGATGCCGTTTCAACGGAACGTGCTATCGAATTAGCAGCCAATACAAAGGGCATCTGTTTCGTGCGTACTTCTCGCCCTGCCACTGCAGTTCTGTACAAAAATGACGAACCATTTGTCGTCGGCAAGGGTAAGGTAGTTAAATCTTCCGCAAAAGATCGAGTTCTCCTCGTTGGAGTCGGTGTAACTTTACACGAGGCGCTTAAAGCTGCCGAGGATTTGTCGAAAGTCGGAGTAAACGTTCGAGTGATCGATCCGTTTACGGTTAAACCTCTCGATGCTCAATTGATACTTAAGAATGCCAAAGAAGTTGGTGGAAAGGTAATTGCGGTCGAAGATCATTACATCGAAGGTGGTTTGGGCGACGCAGTCTTGTCGGCGGTTGCTTTGGAGAAAAATGTTGTAGTCAAAAAGCTGGCCGTCACGGAAGTGCCACGCTCCGGCCCTCCAAGCGTACTGTTGGATAAGTATGGAATTAGTGCAAATAAAATTGTTGCTGCTGTCCAGGAAATGTTAAAGTTGTAAACTTTAACGACTATACAAAATTATTGGTGTTGTCGAAATATGCAGACCATACTGCCATATCAAAATTTATTCAAAAGTACAATGTATCTGTAGAATGCAAATATAAGGAATAATCGATGCATTCCATCTTATTTTTATGCATTTAATGTATACGCATAAAGATCGAAAATTTGGATTGTGTTAATGTATGACCAAGATGCTCACACAAAGAAAAATTCCACTTTGTATGTATACACATTGTTTGTACAGGAAAATGTTTACCCTCAAATCTGTATTCAAGTTTTATATATGAAAAATTTTATTTTGTACGAGAATTTGATACGTAATATTTATAGATTAAAAATACTTTATTGCCCCTACAAGAGTGCAGTGGTGATTTTAGAAATGTTTCTACGATGAAACTATACGTGTTAATAGATGCATTTACAGAAAAAGGCATTTTGAGTCAACTTTATCGATAATACCTCCTACCTCAACGCGTACAATCCTATAATGTTACACACCGGCATTAAATAAAGAAATAAAAACTTTATGAAAAACGTAGTCGTTTCATTCGTCGATCGAAATTCGACTTTATTTTTCATATCGATGGTATCGATATACGAGTATTGGAGAAAAAAAATTCATGGAGAACGTGTACACGAATCGAAACATCGCGCGCTAACCTCATCGACGGAGGAAGTTGTTTTAACAAACTAGGGTTACGAAAGAGAAGAATCGTAGAATCCCTAGATTACCAAACGTGTTAAATTGGGAATCGAGTCGCGATTGGTCGAGGAGTTTCACGAAGACGAGACAAAGGGAGAATGAGAGCGTACAGCAGCGCCACATTTTCTGTTAAATAAGGAACGTCAACCGTTCCTTGTTCTTCGGTCCCTTCGTCTGGCTAGCTGTTCGCCATCCAAAATATCCAGGCTGGCACGGTCGGAGTTGTGTGTGTGTGTGTATGCGTGGGTGCAAGCTCTTTCGGTTCCGTCTCGTTGGTAGGTCTCGTGGTGGGTCGGCCATATTGCGTGTATGTACGTAGCGCGAGGGACTCGCACGTGAATGGATGTGTGCGGGATACACACGCGTGTGCGTTTCCCGTTCCGCGATTCGCGTTCGCGTATCTCGAAAAAGATGGCCGCCATGAAAGCGTACGGTGGTGATGTTGACGTCGTTCGCAGCAAGGCCGCGTCACGTCCTCGAAAAGCGTGAAGAGAACGCGATCGCTCGAATGCTTCCACGACCCTCGTGGTGCGCTCGTACGAGGAAACGATACAGCGAGGTAGTTGTCGGTGATAGGAAAACGCGAGTGCGGTGTTCGCTGGATCCCTCTTCTCGCAGTGCTCGACGAAAACGACGAGGCACGGGAGAGAGGAGAAAGAATAGTAGAAGAACGAGCAAGGAACGTGCTCAACGAAGGGTTGAACGGAATCGCGTGTGACAGAGAAAGGAACGAACGAAGAACGGAGGTAGGAAGAAAAGAAAGAAGAGAAAGCTGGAGATCGCGTGGAAAATACAGCAAGGGTGATACGGAAGTGAATTAGTTGTATGTAGGAATCGCGGGTGGTTGTGTGTGGTGCCGCGAGTGAAACAAATGCGAGCGCGTCGTCCGCGTACGAGTCTCTCTCTTGCCGATGATATCCTGGTCAACCTGTTTTTCGCATTTACACGACGTTGCGTTTTACGCGTGACTCGAAACTCCGTGTCAACGAGGGACGGCCATATTAATCCGTAGCCCCCGCCGTCGCACTTATATCCCGAAGAATCTTCCTTCCTCGAGGTGGTGTCTCAACAGTTTTACGACCGTCGTTACTTTTATTTGTGCGTAACCGTGCGTTGCCGTGGTCGTGTTGTGTCGTGCCTTGTCTCCTCGTACCGTTCCCCGTGCCGTGTGCGTATCGTGTCGTGGATCCTCGACCACTTGGATATACGCGCTACGTAGCCTCCAATTTTTGCCGGATGACGGTACGCGTACGTGGTGCGTGGACAGCGATACTAGTGTGTACGAGCAACCTAGACAACGGCTATTCCGTGAGTTCTGTGCCGTCCGATGTTCGTGCGTCCCACCGAAACAATTTACCGGTTCTCCACCACCGTGTCTACCCACTCTGCCAGCAGTACCACCCTTCCTAGATCCTGTACTATCCGCAGAGTAAGTACCTTAAATCTATTTTCTTCTATTTTATCGACAATCTATCCACCGGTATTTACTTTAGACAATGTACACTGAAAATATCTTTTAATTCGATCTTGGATGACAAACATTTTACACCTTTATAGGTGAATGTATCGATAGCATCTTGATTGCACCGGTTTCTAACATTTCATTCAATTTGCATTGTCAGTGTAAAATGTCTGTGTTTCAAATACTTTGTCTGCATCGAATGCTTTGTTTTTAAGTATACGTACGAAACGTATACATATTTGGCAATACTGTCACGTACTTTGTGGATATCCCTAGAAACAGTATCTTTTATAAAATAGATACCGAATCTCTTAATTGCTTTCACAGCATTCGATTGCTGTTTGCCAACCGTTAACCGTCTATTGGTTATATGTTCCTAGATTAACAAGAGCTTTAGGATACGATGCAATATTGTTTATACTTGTTATTTCGTACCAACAAGACTCAATAACTTATGGTAAATATGCTTAAATGCATTTTGTGTAATCTTAGATTTGTATCAAGTTTGTGTAAATGCGTAACAAACAGTTCTACCAATGAACATACAGCACCATGGAAACACCATAAGTCATTTGTGACTTGGCTACACAGCAATTGTTCCATCATATATAACATGTTGTTACTGGAATTATTAGAATAAGAGAGAAACAAACAACAACATAACCTCAATCTGGAGTAGCGATATAGAAATACTATGAAACAATATAGTTCTACAAAAGTTCATTGTAGAAGTAGTTCTAACCTCGCTTGGATTGTTTGCAAGTACTAGTAACATTTGATACGTTGTCTTTGCTATTCCCTTTGAACTTGTTCGATAACTTAAAAAACTTATATCGTACATTCTGCAACAAGTTTTTTCCCTACATTTAACATTTAAAATAGGAAACTTCGGTTGTTAATAATTACAATTTTTTAGTTTTTCCTATACTTTGGTAAATTAGTTTAAAATAAATACAGAGTCATGGGCGTGTTTCAGATTTCACAGAAATCTGTTTGCCTTTTTCGATGCGATCACGCCCAGGGATACATGTAGAGGGTGCTTATTATTGTTAGGAAAGGAACAGAATTGATATTACGGAGAAACTCGGAATTACGTTTTTCAGCCCGTCGGTGTTACGAGTCCGGGGTATACGTCGAAGGGGAAATCAGCATAGTACGATATCAATTGATCGCATTCGTCATGCGAGTAATTTTTAGGGTGAAAAGACGGTTTCACGGGGCGATTAATCATTTCCCTTCTAGCAGCTCCGGCCTATTTAATAGCGTGTTCCAGTGGCCTGTCGCTCGGCCTTTTTATACCGGTTTCAAAGGCGGTCGAGTGTACTTGGTATTTCATAGCAGTGGTACTGTTACGAGATGCTACCGTGCGAGATTTTTACCACTATTAGCAACGCCATCGAACTTTTCCAGTTTGTTCCACCCTGAAACACGAGTGCGATTTAACATTCTACAATATATCACATTTCTCCTACGTTCTCCTCGACGCGTGACCCTTTGTGAAATCCGCTTTCCATGTAGCAAATAATATACTTTTTATAGTTTTGGATTTTTGATATTGGATTCCTGGATACGCGTGTGTCACCGTTAAATGAATTTTTTAATGAAAATAGTCTTTCAAGCGTGATTCTTTGGTAGCCATATATTACATAAAACGTACTTTGAAAATATTGATGTACATGGTCATGTAATCTCAGAACCTCAGAAACGTAAACAACGTTTATCGTTGGTCGACCTATGGGGAAGGTCTTCCTCGGTAGGTTATTCGAAATAAATATAATTTGTGTTATAGGGGTTTAACGTTCGGTTAGAGTTAAATTAATTTTCGTTCTATTTATCGTCACTGCGTTCTCTGCAAGATCTCCGAGCACCGTACTCACGAAAATTGGTTTCGATCCGAAGCTCGAGTAACCGATAGCTCGTGGCATCCATAGAAACGAAACGGCCGACGGTCAGTTTTGAAATATTTTTGGTTTACGAACGGACGAAAAGGAAACGACCAATGTTCTTTTGCCCCCTGTAAATACGTGAATCGGATTTGTTCGAAAGCACGAGTATTCGGTGACCCTTGGTGTCCGCTGGTCGTAGGTTAAATTCGCGTAAGACGGTTAGAGACGTGACTTCCGGTTCGAATAGGCGAAAAGGACCGCGTAGGTAGAAAAATTCTCGGAAAGTATTGGATTCGTCCAGCCGTAGTCTGGGGAAGCGAAAGCATTTCTAATTTATCATCGAAGTAATTGGAACATTCCTTTGCGACCCGCGCGCCTTCATATTTTCTCCGGAATCGAGCAATTAAGTTTTCGATCTGGATCTGGGTTTTTCTCCGTTGCAACTCCGCCCCCGAGTAAACGGGAATAAACGAATTAACGTTTTAAAGGGAATTCTTGTTGGACGAGGAGTATCTTTCGGGGGGAAAAGCTACGCGGACCTTTGCAATATCTCGATTTTTCCACTCGTCGATTCCGATTTCCAACCGATTTACGTGCGCCTGTATTTGCACAAATTTTTGTCCAAACACTATCGAGGATTTTACAAAATTTGCATACTTATCTACGCTCGTTTCAAGAACACATTTTTTCATAATGAAATATTATTTTGTTCGAACGGTATGTTAACCAAAGATTTTTTAAAGTGATATATTAAAAAAAAAATATGTACGAAGCCTTAAAACTTGGAATAAATTTTATGCGTGATATTTGTAATATACTGGTCTGGGTGTCTTGAGCTGGTCAGTTATTGGTGCGTTTACCGTACTTTAAGGTTTCGCAATGAACTTGGGCGAACAAAGAACACTTGTTCGATTCCATGGGAATAAGAAGCGTGAGTTTCTCAATAACTAGAATACGTCTGGCTTCGTGGAATTATTCGAACGAGAGAAAAGAACTTGGGCACGCACGAGGAAAAGCAAATTTTTGCCGGACGTTGAAACGTGCATTTTGTCACGTAGTCGATTTCGATTAGGATCGGTTTAGGTACAAATACACTTGGAATTGCTCTCGAGAGGTTGGTGAAATATAAACTCAAAGATATCTCGGTGCATTACAGCGTTCTCGTAACGTACCAGACACGAGCAACATTTTTATTTATTTTACGAGACATTATTACGTCTTTGCAATATAACATAACTTTAAAAGATAATTATAAACAGGATTATTCCAAAGCAACTGAGATCTCATATAAGAGAATGAAATTTGGAATAATTCTGACGGCGTTTGCACGTTTCCTAGCCAAACGGTTACAAGCGAATTCCTAATTAGCCCAGCTGTCTATTTCCACGTTTCTCGGTAAATGGCGGTATGATGTCATTGGCGCGGTCGGACGAAATTTTTGAACCGCCTTGAACGCACCGGCGCTCGTTTTTCTTATTTTATCTTATCTTAATGTATTAATCTTCGCGGCGCGATAATGCACGAACACCGGTTGTAATCTGTAATACGAGTAACGTTTACTTGCAGCGGGTATCGTTTTCTTTTGACGACGTTTCAGCCATGAGCTCTCTAGAAACGACGGATACACTGGGTGGATCGTTTCAATAGGAACAAGGGGAATACGTTTCTCACGCCTTTACACGCTTCGAAACCATCGCACACGCGTTTAATGTTATCTTCAGAGCGATATCTTAATTTTGTTTTGACGCACTTGGTAACGATTGGTTATTTAAATATGATTAAATATCGGTTTTCGTTTCATCCACGATAGGTTAAAAATTAATGCGAATATTTTAGAGGTGTTTGTGTTCTAATTTATGAAGAGAAATATTAATTATGAAATTCCCATGTTAATCTCGCGGAGGAGCATTGTAAATAGAGGAGATGGGGGTAGTAATATGAGACACTAAGGTTTTGGACACCCGGGCACTATCCAAGAAACGAAATTAGAGATAATCCGTTTATGCAGGCCTGTGGCCCCCTGTCGTCGTCGGTCTCGTCTACTTTGGCGGCATTTTGTGAGAAAACAGCATTCTCAATGTTGGAGGCAACGACGAGAAGAAACGAGGATTCTAAAGGGCAAAGTATTTGCCAGATTGTTGGCGAAGTTACGTAAATTTAAACCGTAAAATTCCATTTTGTACCGAATATGTAATTTTATTTTCAACCAACGAATACATTTAGATATTTCCATTTAAACAGCCCCACCCCTCAACGGCGCGAATCCCGTCCATTGAAAAGATCCTTTTGAGCCTTTGAAAATGCGTGAAATCAATTTCCCTGCCACCTTGTTATTCCTGTTCGTTCGTGTACGCAAAACGTTCGAATTAGCATCCGGGAACGTTGTTGCTAATTCATTACCGGGGATTTTACCGCGCTTGCGGAAATCGGTTGAAATCGGTCTTATCCATTATTACGATTTGCTCGTCGACAAATAGTTTTTAATATTCCAACGACGCGGAATCCGCGAATCGTACGGCGCACGCGGGCCGAGAAAATTGAAATTCACGCGTTAAACGTTGGAACGGTGTCCCGCGATTGATTCACCGTCGCCAATCGTCGACTATCGGATATCGTAGGCGTAGAGGCAAAGAACATCGTCGCCCTCAGCAGCCTTCGTTCGACGGTACGCGGATGTTTGTCTTGCCTGCGCGTAAGAACGTCACCGTTCCCGCATTTCCTCGCCACTTTTCGCGACCGACCGAGTCCCTTGGAGAATTTCAACCCCCCCCCCCTCCCCCGTGTGCGTTCGCGAGAACACGAACATCGCGAGATTCTCTCGAAGCGTATCGGGAACGCGAAAGCACGGAGAGACGGTCGTGTTTGCTGTACCTTTGCCAAAATTCCATCCCAGTCTGCTCCGGGGATCCCTTCGATTGCTTTCTGTCGTCTGCAGTTTCGTAAATTTTACGAACCACTCGCGAGCTCCGGCACGCTCGGATAAGTGATAAGAGGCGCGAAGGTGCCCCGGAAAATTCGACGATGGAACACGGTTTACGAAACTTTACACCCACGCGTGCCTCTTACCACCGATCTCGCGAC